TTTAATTGTGTAATTTCACAACAACTTTAAAACTTAAACATGCCTGGAATTAAATTTACTTTCACTTTAACCACATCATTTCAATGCATACCTTGTTTAAAAAAGTATCAATGTAAAAAGAAGGATCAAGTTTCAAATGAAGAAAGAAAAAAAAGAGAGAGAGAATTTGAAGAAACAGGTGTTCTTCCACGGTGTTCTTTATGTAAATTATTCCATAATCGCTGTAAGAATAAGAAATGTAAGCAGTGCTGCATGTTACATACATGTAATGCAATTGAGTGTTCCAACTGTGAAAAATGTGGGATCAGCTGCGAATGGCCTTTTCCAAGAACTGAGGAAGAGTTTAACAAGTTATCTGAGAAATCGGGTAATGTTTTAACAAGATCTGTGGCAAAATTTGAAAGATCCAGTCAAGGAAATCTTCATGTTCATGTTGTTTTAACATTTTCAAAACAAGTGTCTATGAAATTTGTTAAACAGTTGGTTGGCTGTGAGAGAATATCTTTTCCACCTGGTGTTGTATGTAAGGGAACTTCAAAAGATAATGAAGATTACGTATTAAAAATTTGGGGTCGTTGTGCAATTCATCACAAACCAAAAGAAGGAAAGTTCTGCAAATGTAGTTTTTCTATCCAGGAAGATATTAGCAAATGTAGTCTTTGTAAGAAATCTTGTATCAGTGTAAGAAAAAAAGAACAGTTGGACGAAGAGGGTGCAAAACCATTTATTTTTGGTAATTTTCGTCTAATAGAAGGTTCATCAGACGACACAGTTGATAAGCTCAATATGATAAGATTAGACAATGAGTACAAAAAACAAAAAATGCGTGATGAACAACTTGATCCTGATTATATTCTTCAACATCCTGAATCACAACCGACTGACTGGTATAGTTCGTATCCAGCTGTAAAACAGATGGCGAAGGATAGAAAAGAATTAGAAAATAGATTAAAATTTATTCCAGAAAAGAAATTTTATCCAAAGAACTTTTATTTTTATGGTGATTCTGGTTCGGGGAAGACAACAATTATCCAAAGAATTGTCAAAGAACTTGCAAAAGGAAGAGAAGCATGCGTTAAAGCTAGCGATCCAAAATTTTTTGATAATTATAACAATAATGAGATTATTTACAAACATGAGCTGTCACATGACACCTGGAAGTTTCAAGATCTCTTAAATCTTTGTGAAAAAGATGAATGTGTTATCAGACGAAAGAATAAAAAACCTGTGATAGTTGTGTCCAAGTATAATATTTTTACAGCACAACATTCATTTGATGATATTTTTAGCTTTAGAAAGCGCATATTCGATGGAGAAAAAATTAAAAGCTCAGAGTCAGAAATCGCATTGTATAGAAGATTTTCAAAATCACGAGTTTATACACATGGTTATATCATAGAAATGTTGGGTCGTTATGAGGAAGGAGTAGTTAATTTTAGAATAGATCGCTTAAAACCATATCAAGCGGGAGATTTATTAGATTTTATTAATGGTAGATTCGATATCAAATTTTCGGAAGATATTAGTTTGGAAGAGGCAAAGAAATACATTTACGATAATGATTTTGACAATTTGTATAATCAAGATGGTTATGTTTTCATGAAACGAGAGATTAATATGAGTTATGTTTTAGGTGGTATTGTTGCAAATATAGACTTAGAAAGAAAATCATTCACTGTTTACAATGAATTTTGGGATTCTGAACTTCCAGAAAATATCATAACTCCTTATAATATAGAATCGTTACATAAGAATTTACGTCAAAAATTACATTGGGTTGATAAAAAACCTGTTGATTTTATTGAAAATAATTTAGAATTGATAGTACTTGATCCACAAATAGAATCAAGCACTAAACGTAAATTAGATGAT